ATGTCATTCTGTGATGTAGTTGTATATTTTATTCTTGGTTTCACAATTTATCATTATTATATTATCTAACTGCTATGTGACAATAGTTATTTTTCCCCTCTTACCATCTAGTATGCCCATTTTACCTATACACTCATTATTGCCTGACTTTTTTTAATAACAATACGTTCACACAATATGCACAACTTTCAGCTTGGTTTATTGCGTAATATTCACTATTCATCCAGGAGTTTCAAGTTAAACAGCCATTTCCAGTACATCATGTGTGATGGTATATGTGAAGAATAAAATAATCCACCTGGGTATTTTTCTTTGTTCCCACAGAAATGCTCAACGGTAGGCAGCACACAATTTCAAAATGTAAACGAATCCAAAATTTGGTGTCCAAAGGATATAATGGAATGATGATAACAACACGAACTAAAGAAAATAAGATGCACTGTCTCACATGGAAATTCAGGTAGCCTAGAGATCCAGGCAGACAGCCAATTATGAAATCAGTTGTTATTATTATTATGACCACCTCGATTGTTTTCGAATAATTCACATCCCTGGACTGTGATCATACATTTTGTGAACAACGTTAAATCAAATGCCGATATCTGTATAAATGTAAAACCTTTTGAGAATTTACCGGAAATGCGTAATCGCTTTTTATCGTTATTGCCAACGCGTAGTTATTTCTTGAAATTACGAAATTGAGTGTATATAGGCTTATCGGAAGACAGAGATCATCCGAGGAATGTGAAGTATTTGCGCAATACATTTCGAACATTTATTTGTCTAGTCTGTCTATATGAAAAATGAAGGCAATTAAAGTTCACAAAGTGGTAAAAAGGTTTTATGAATAACAAGAATAATTAACACTACGTTCGATTATCCAATCATATACGGATTACCAAGGTATGTTTAGAGTGATAACAAATTGTTAATTGCAAATTAATTCAAATCTGTGACCATGTAACTGCCAACATCACAATAATCTTGTACTTAACAGTGACTGTGAAATAATCAGAATTTTTAAATGTCAGATTGAAGAATGCAGTGTATGATGTGTGCTTAATGCAACAAAAACCAATAATACTTATTAATTTTGAAGTCTTTGTATTTCATGGCAGCACTAATTTTCTTGGACCACCACTAAGGTCCTGATAACCAAATATTTGAAACAAGCAAGTGAAGTTTATAAGCATTAGGTAAAATACGGATTCAATATGTGAAATAGCCCGTTCTGTTGGAATCTATTCGATTGAAGGTCAGTTTCATCAAACGTCTATCACGTTATTCATATTCTTTACGATATCTTTGTTATTTCAAACAATACTGGTCCCAGTTTCTCAGTGAGAATAGTATCACGATTACTAACAATTATTGGCAGGGTCCACATGTGGTGAGAGCAGCCTGCTAGCCAATTGGTTGACATTAATCTACGTCAATGTCTAGGTCACTAATATGGGCCGTGAGAAAATATGAACAAGGCTGTTTCAACAACCAATCACAGCAAACTTAACGTGGGCAAACATGATTCGCAGATAGATGGCTCCACTTTCCGAGGAACTCGAAAACAACCAATCAGAAGACTGCGTTTTTCTACTTGACTAGGCTATAATAATGTATGTGAAATTTATATAAATACGTGTTGATTTCCGTAATAAAACGATCTGTTTCCAGCCCTTGTCTTCTGTTGTTACACACACTTTGACGCTTGCATAAATTACTATTGCATTATTACTATTTTAAGCCAACAGGAGTCACTCATTTCTTAGATTTGAAGAACCTTTTGTATCCACAACTCCTAAAAGAGCGTATGACTTTCAGGAGTTGTGAGAGTGGGTCACTAATACTTCGTTTGTGAAAGCCTAACTTTGGCTTAAACACAACGACCTGTGTCAGTGTATTGTTCGGTTGGATACGCGCACGTCTTACAATCTGGTTACGAAATGATAAATTAATGATAAAAAAATTACTATTACACGAGACACTAATGTAGTGAGTGCTCGTGCCCAAGGTCGACTGCTGATATAGATGATATCTAATCTTATCCCTGAATTGAGATACCAACACTAAGTATGACTATTCGTTATTGTTTCGACGAGAGTTTCACTGAGAATCGGTCATTACAGTACACCTCACTCACTGGAAGTCATAAAACTGCATTAATATATCTGATATATTTGGCTAAAAGTATTGCCACACAAGTGAATGACCAGCCAGATGAGTTTCGGCAATCGATGTCCGTGTGCGCTAATTCTGAGAATAACCAGACCTACTCGGAGCTTTAACCAGTGATTTATCTCGTTGTTACACAGTCGTTTCTCCTTAATTAATGGCATTCCCATATTTCTTCACACTGACGATAGCTCAACACTGAACTTAACATAATCATTCAGATATTTTGATTGATGATAGAAGGCTTTTCTAAAAGATACCTGTGCTTGCTTAATCGCTTCTTGAACGCGTCCACTGAGGGCATTGATACCGCCTATTCTAGCACTCGGTTTCTAGATTTTATGAATCGATGGAAGAAATGGTACCCACAGCACTACAGTTCCTCCTCGTGTTCTGAACCATCCTCCTTTTTCTTTTGAAATACACATATGCGTGCATTTTACCAGAAATTCATATGAGTTATTGAACACTTGGCAGGTGATTTTAGTTAAGGTGCTGCGTATTCCCTATAAGGATCTAAAACTTTTAACTACCACTGCACAACAATCAGCAGAAGTATTATAGTCATAGCTTGACACAGACACATGGGTGGCCCAATGCAACATGTGATGAATCATGTGAGTTGTACCACAATGACTAATTCAATCACCATCTTGCAGATAATGTGAAAATAGAAGAATCTCAAATTAGCATAGACTGCATTGAGGTTTGGGGTGCTTTACACGCCCTCGAGACCATACTTCAACTGGTGTACCAGGGAGACGATGGAGCGGTGAGTTTCGTTTTTACCTACGGTTTGATTTCATTAATTTATTTCATCATATAGAATGTTATATTTAAAGGAATTTTGGAGGACGAACCAGAATTCGGACACCGTGGAATGCTGATAGATACTGCGAGGTACTTCTTGCCACTCGATGTCCTGAAGAAATTAATAGTAGGAATTGTAATAGTTATTATAATGCTTTCGTTTACCAGGATAGCATGGCCATGGTCAAGATGAATGTGTTTCATTGGCATATTACAGATGACCAATCATTTCCCTTTGTCTCGACTACTTGTTCGGAACTGTCACAGAAGGTGAGTAAGATGAAAATCAGGTCATTTATTGATCGAAATGTTTGTTTAAACTACAATAGGGTGCATATTATCCTATGAGGTGCACATGCAGTGAAGAAGATGTGAATGATCTCTTGGACTACGCTCGTCAAGGTGGAATTCGTGTCATTGGAGAGTTTGATACTCCAGGTAGATAGTTTTAAATATATATTTAATATGATTTAAATATCCATCATGTCAGTTCAAGTAAAATAATACCATGCAGAGACTTGAATGAGTATGAACATGCTCTTGGAATGATGCTGAAAGTAAACTGTCTATCAACCAATTAAACATAGTCATCATAAATATAGTGCAGTTTATGCATGGTTTCGTGTTTGAAGGTATGTTGAATCAAGGAGATGATGAGAGGCGTTTACCTGTGCTAAGTTACCTATCAGGTTTGATTTTGCTGGAAATTATAAACCAAAGGCGGTTGTGAAAAATTCACAGTTTGTGGTTCTGTTTAGTCGTCTAATATAATCCAGATAATATGCAGAATTATCCCACCAGTGAACTACGTGAATATCATTGGTCCAGTGTTTGCATTCAATGTCTCGTACTTGATCCTTGAATGGACCAACGTAGTTAGTGTGAAATACATGTGTTATATGAGTTGAACAGTTTATAATTTCAGACAGCAGAATACGAATCAATCTCAGATGGTGAATCCACTCATCATCGTATCTTGTATTTCAACGACATTATTTGTTGAAATATTGTAAGGATGATTTCCATTGACTGTCACAATCATCTCTTATAGCGCATACATTGTCATGGGGGAAAGGATATCCATACCTACTAACTAAATGTTATAACGACGATAAAGAAAATGGAAGGTTGGGTCCATTGAATCCAGTCAATTCATCGTTGTATGATTTCTTGGAGAAACTGTTTAAAGAAATCGTCGGCAGATTTCATGACAATTACATTCATCTTGGGGCAATGAGGTTGACTATGAGTGCTGGTGAGTTCTGTTGATTTTATGTAAGATTGAATGAAGAGTCACTGTTATGGCATCGCCATGTTTAAATTTCAAACTGAAGACATATTTTTCTCTGTAGAAGAAGGTTCCAAAAGAATTTTCAATGAGACCCCACAGCATATGGGCTGCCAATTTGTAGGTTGACTAGTAATATGGAAAAAACACCATTTAAGGTGTTGTCGTGACGTTATTTTGAAGTTTGTGCTGAAGATGTCGGATAACTTCCATCAAAATTTGTGTGTACAGGAAACAGTGTATAACAACCTCCGAGCGTTTCTAACCCTGAGTGACTAGCGTACTAAAATATAATTTTGTGTTAAATTGTCCATTTATCTGATATTTCCAGTGGATTGCAAGACATTTATTGCAATCGAACATGGTGGCCACAAATTGCCAGTGAAATATAATCTCACATTATTCCTCTTTTGATTGGTTAATATAAACGAATGAAGACAACTGTCCATAAGGCACGACTATTACTTCTTCTTCTTCAGTAGAACACGGAATATTACAGCACCCATCTATCTCATTCTCTTCCTTCCATTGAGTGGAATAGAAACTCCTCATCAACAATCTCTGATCAAGTTGTATATTAATAGTTAATTCATGTAGATTAACGGAAGACTTATATTCCTGCTCCTTATTTGTGGGCAGTTTAAATTGAATCATCGACAAGAACAATGAACAAGTAAATTTAATGTCTTTCTGTTCATTTTAGGCGGTCGAATCCAGAAATAAAAACATTCATGAAAGACAAGAAATTCGGTGAGGATTATTACCAATTACATAAATATCATCTGGTGAAACTTATTGAGATTGTTAAGAACATGACGACGACAGATCCTGAATTACCGATCACTCCTATTGTCTACCAGGAGAGTTATGCTGACGAATGTGGAGTAAGTTTTGGAAAATATGTTTGTAATTAAACAAATATACTCGGTATTCAGTGACGATTATCTGAATCCCACTGACACAACATTATCAGTCCTTTTTATTTGATGATAAGGAGGTTTGTTGTGATTCAGTCATATGTTTTGACTAATGACAGATTATTGCAAGCACTTGTTTTCAAGTTATTTTATTTCACATCTGAAGCATTTATTCCATGTTGGCTGATTTGGTGTCTAGAGACAAATAATAATCCATCTATGTAATTCCCATCAGGCGAACAGATTTAAGTCGCCTAATGCTGAGTTTCGGTGTTACTTCATGTATAGCGATAGGAGAATATTTTCTCTTATCACTTGTCGTGCTGAATCTGGCTAAGCTCTCTCACTCTCACAACTCACTAGACCTAAATACAGCGAAAAAATCTATGTGCTTTATCGTGAATCATCTGGTTGTATTTGATCAGTTGAGTTATTGCACGCGATTATTTAATTTGAACAGGGCATAGGAGGTCACATCGCTAATGAAAATTTGTGTCCCCTTTATCTCTGTGGTGAAAGTCTGTTGACACGTTCTATAGGTTCCATAGGTAAACCTGTCGTTCAGTTGAGTGATCATACAAGTAGTTGATGAAACGTGAATAGAAAGAAACCTCAATCCACATTTTCACTGTTAACCAACATGAACAAAATCAAATCAATATTTATTTAATTCCAGTTATGGTCGCTACTCATCTTGAAAATTTACTAGATAATTAAAGAACTGAGGTGATTTAATTTCATTCCTCGGTTGAATAAATCTAACGTTTTGCATATTTTGTCCATGTCAAATATCTGATGAACCTCTGAAAAGAGGCATCAGAAAATTCGATATCTGGAGCAAAATGACTTTAAGCAGTCAACCTGTACACGAAATGTTTCATCGGTTAGATAATGTGTCATCCCCCAGTTTTAGAATAACAACCGACCGGTGATACGTTAGAAATTTATCTAAATAGTTATATCAATTTGGCGTTCATACCACTAACTTTACAAATGTTTCATTTGGTTTCACAGATTGACCTCGATACAATCATTCATGTCTGGAAAACTGTAGATTGGGAGAAACACGTCTACAATGCCACTCTAGATGGATATAAGGTTATAGTTTCTGGGACATGGAATCTTAATGACATACAATCTGATCTTGATTGGATGAGATATTACTCACAGAATATCAGAGATTTTGGAGGTGAGTTAATTCTCACGTGGTCTGAAAGAAACTTATGTGTTGACGATATTTATCTGCGTGTGTTCCAAGTTCCACTTTGCCTGTGTTATTCAACGGTTTTGAAATGAGCATGGATTCACAATGACTGCAGCGACTGCGCTGTTTCTTGAGTGACAATTGTGAGTCGTTTGACTTTGTACAGTATGTTGCCATATTAACAACGAAATATATATACATATATAATGGAAGTCAATGGGACATTCACAATGAACTCAGAAGTCTGTCACTGATGGATTTAGGAAGCAATCGTGATTTGTAGATCTAGATGGTGATTTAGCTTTCCTCGTTAGGAATTTATCCTTGACCTGCTATGTGAGTACCTCTCTAGTTCGGAACGAAGTACTAGTTGGGCTGCAGGAAATGTGCGTTATATTTTGGGTGTTAAACAGCAGTTAACAGAAATTTGCGATTTTTCAGACCAGTTGACCTGCAAATCTATCAGTCACGTTCTTCAGCAAATGGTGAGGATATGAATTTCTGAAATCCAGTAGGCTTTCTTCACTGAGTTGATCGGTTCCCAGAGCAAGTAACACTTTTTATTTTGCTTACAGGCACACATTCGCAAAAACTAAAAGTCATTGGAGGTGAAGCTACCCTGTGGAGCACTCGTGTGGATGAGACAAATATAATGTCACTAGCTTGGTGAGTATTCTTCACTAATCCTTCTTAGTATTCTTACGAAAATCATTGTTTGATAGGTATTTCAATCGTGAAACAAAGTGTTGTTTAAGACAGAAAATTACAAAATGTTTCGTTGGTGACATTCAGTCAGAATCTGAACATCGAATCCCTTTAACATAATTGAGAGTTTAGATGACACGGTGGAAATAGAATGATGACTTCATCTGAAATGACTATTGGCATACACCCAATGAATATCATAAAAAGGTGAATGGTAGTAATTCGTTAGGCTCCTTTAACTATACACCCAGTATCAACAGACAAAATACCTGCATGTGAACCGTTAACAATATAGTTCAACTTCGACTTGACTCCGCTTTCTTTGAATTGCCATATGGAATCATAATGACTAAATAGGTAGACTGTGGGATTTTGTGTCCCTCAAAGTTGACTTTCCCTATTTATAAAAGACACAGTTGGCAAGAAATCGAGTGACACGTTTGTTCATTTCATGAAACGTTGTAACATAAGATTCACAGATGAGAATTTTCTAGCCAATTAATTTGGTAAAATTACATTCAGTGCATTGCCGACCTACTTTGAATAAGTTAAGACAAAAAGGTAATGCGCTGTGTTTCAATCCAACTCGTTAGCCTCAGTTTTCTGTGTTTCTTCTCGTCACTGTGATATATGTGTAGGCCTAGAGGTGCTGCTACAGCTGAACGACTTTGGACGAAATACCCTGACAATATCACCGAATTCGGAAAGAGATTGGATGAACTTCGATGCAGAATGCGCCAGTGAGTTTCCCTCTACATACAGTCATGCATTTTCTGTTAAAATATTGTGGTTCTGTAGCCACCTGTTGCAAGTATGAATGGGACACTGTGATATGGTTATGTCAGTAATCTCTTTTCCTGGACATTCGGTGTGATCGAATAAGCTGCAAGCGAATTATTCCGTGACATACTGTTTGACGAATTGATAACTGATCGTAGCTAATATTACCAAACATGAATGTCATCAGAGATGTTAGACGTGTCATGTCTGAACTCTTGATATAAATACTTTACATCCTCAGTGTAAAAATGAATGTGTAGTGTGTAGATGCTCTCAGTTGTCGCGATCTCGGAATCTTTCAATAATAATAATACCCCGTTTTCTGTGCAGAGGACAGTAGAGACAGTCATCACATAATGTTAAATTAAGTTACCGCTGAACAATTATTTTTTTTTTTGATTACAGCTTGATTCCACACTGTATTTTTGGTACAAGTATGGAATTTTCAGCGTGGATATCGGAAGCCCAAAATTCGCAGGCCGACCATAGATATCAGGTATACGTCGGCGTGGGCTCGAACCCCGGACCATATGCATGGTTGGCGAGAGTCCTAACCGCTGTGCCACCGACGCTCCTTTAACTATACACCCAATGTCAACAGACAACATACATAAATGTGATCCGTTAACAATGTAGTTCAACTTCGACTTGACTCCGCTTTCTTTGAATTGCCATATGGAATCATAATGACTAAATAGGTAGACTGTGGGATTTTGTGTCCCTCAAAGTTGACTTTCCCTATTTATAAAAGACACAGTTGTCAAAAAATAATTGTTCAGCGGTAACTTAATTTAACATTATGTGATGACTGTCTCTACTGTCCTCTGCACAGAAAACGGGGTATTATTATTATTGAAAGATTCCGAGATCGCGACAACTGAGAGCATCTACACACTACACATTCATTTTTACACTGAGGATGTAAAGTATTTATATCAAGAGTTCAGACATGACACGTCTAACATCTCTGATGACATTCATGTTAATCGTCACCTGGTCTCAATCACCACAATGTACAGGAAGTTAGTTTTAACTGTTTCTAGCACACAAACTGATTTGAATTGATTTTTTTTTCAAATTGTATCAGTACAAACACGGAAAGTTTAGTAGTCTAACCATCCACACTTCTGATTCAGCCAAAAGTATATTTTTCAGTCACGTACTTAATCTGCACACAAAAGCGGCATTTACAGTGAAAGATCCTGGTGCCTGCAATTCCCGAAACATTATGGGGTCGGTTATTCACTTCGGAAGTGCTACGGAATAGGTCTTTT